TGACTGGGATTTGAACCAATGACCCTAGTACTGCCAGGTGGAAGTGCTAACATTACATCCACAATTGTTTATTTATTTGGGGAGGGGGGGCTCTGAGGAAGATCTGTGACATGTAACGCAATCAATGTCTTCATGTGTAGGCACCCCTGACGTGTGTGTTTACGTTCTTATATGCGTGAACATGGGATGGGGAGTCCTCAAAAATTTTAGGGGAACAATTTTATGTGCTGGGGTGTAACTTTAAAACTTTTTTCATCGCATAGGGGATAAATGATCCCCTATATGATGATTTTTGGTGACAGGTTTTCTTTATTAAGACATCCGGGGTCTAAAAATCCCTGGCTATCTCCCCTGTGCTCCACTGAATCTCATGCAGCATGGTTCACACTGCATTCGATTCTTTCCCGGCGCCATTTTACACCTCTCTTCTTCTACACACAATCCTGGTGGCTGCAGCTTTCAGGAGTATGTGTAAAACCTCCCCGCTGTCAGGTCCGTATGACGTACAGACCTCGCAGCAAAAGGGTTAATGGGTATTTCTACTTTTGCTATCAAATTGAGAAAATCCACTATAAGGCTGCTTGCACACTGAGCATTTTTACTATCTCTCATAGGTGCCTTTCCTCTTGGCAGTGGTGTTTTGGCAGAAAAACACTTGACGCTTGTAAACATCTGCAACTTGTTTAGGAGCGTCAAACACTTTTTGGCATTAATTCATTTATTGGCCAGAATAATAATTGAATGCTTGAGCATTAATTAATTTCAATGGCCAGAATAATAATTTGTTCTGGCCATTGAAATTAATTAACGATCAAGCACTAAAAGTGCCTAGCATTTTTTTATGCCAAAATGCCACTGCTCCTGGACACACTGGAAGTGGGGTTTTTTTCTGCCTCTAATTGCCTATGTGGGCATGGACACATACCCACCAGCCAGTTTATTAAGTACACCTTGCTAGTGCCAAGAAAATATCCCCCACACCATTACACCACCACCAGCCTGAACCGTTGCTACAAGGCAGGCTGGATCCATGCTTTCATGTTGTTTACACTAAATTCTGACCCTACCATCTGAATGTCACAGCAATCAGTGCCCATTCTCCTCTGCCCTCACAAGGCATTTCCATCCACACAACTGCCACTAACTGGATATTTTCTCTTTTTTGGACCATTCTCTGTAAACCCTAGAGATGGTTGTACATGAAAATCCCAGTAGATCAGCAATTTTTGAAATTCTCAGACCAGCCCGTCTGGCACCATCAACCATGCCATGTTCAGAGTCACTTAAATCCCCTTTCTTCCCCATTCTGATGTTCGGTTTGAACTTCAGTAAGTTGTCTTCATCACATCTAGATGCCTAAATGCATTGAGTTGCTGCCATGTGATTGGCTGATTAGCAATTTGTGTTACCAAGCAATTGAACAGGTGTACCTAATAAAGTGGCCGGTGAGTGTAGGCTAACCTGCAGGGGTGTTTAGGGGCCAGATGCCCCTAACAACCGTTTCAAAGCCCTCCAGTGTGCATGAGGCCTAAGTGTTCCTATTCACATACCACACATACCATTGTTTTTAAAATAATTCTTACCTTTTATGTGTGTTTAAGGAGAAGCTATCATGACTGATTCTAAGACTTTCTGGATGGGCTCACAGTGTCTTTGTCCCCACACAGAGTGAGCTATACCTCATTAACATACAATGTAGGAGGGCAATTGTTTAATTTTTAACCCTTCAAGCTATTTTACAGCTGACAATTAAGAACTGCAGACACAGTACAGGCAGGGTTAATTAAATCTTATTCCACAGCCCCTCCTAAACATTACAAAGCAGGGAGAGCATGTAAGGATTCTCAAGGTATATTTCCACTTTTGCATTCAAATTAGGATAACACCGACTATACATTACTTTACACGTCCATATTTGCATAACTCATGTAAAAATTGTGGCTTACCCTTTTTAAATGCTCTATTCTGGACCCTCTAGCAAAGAAAAACTCCTAGGTAGTTTTCTTTGTTTACAAGGGGGCTGGGCATCTGTGTTTGATACAATTAACCCTAGCTATACTGTGCAGGCAGAGTTTCATTATCAATTGTAACTAGATTTGAACACTGTCCTAAAAAAAGAGTCAAAGGTGTAAAAGCCAGGCATAGTACAAGGACAAACTTGGGACAGACTCTCTCTCTAACTTTATTTAAAAAAAAATCCTTGGAGTCAACTATGACACCCTTTCTGAGATATATCTAAAAGGTAAGAAATATTAAAATCAGCATACTGGGGTTTATTTACTAAAACTGGAGAGTGCAAAATCAGGCTCGCTTCTGCATAGAAACCAATCCGCTTCGAACCTCAGCTTGTTCATTTAAGTTTTTTCAATAAAACCTGGAAACTGATTGGTTAGTAAATAAAGTGTGAATGAGAACACAGAAATATATATATGGCATTTTCTTAAATTTGACTGCAAAAGAGAAAATATGTTTTAAGCAAGCACTTAACCGCTTGCCCGCTGCCCTACAGCAGAAATACTGCTGCAGGGCTGCATAAAATCACGTATATATATACATGATCTTGCATTTCTGGGTAGGGGGTACGTGCCCTACCCATGCTGCCATTGGTGGCTTCAGCTGCTGATCTCTGAGTCCCGCCCGGTGATTCCCCACCAGCACCCGGCGATCGCCAAGTATCACTGATGGGGGACAGGTCTGTATGTAAACAATATATAAATAACACAGATCTCTGCTCTGTCAGCTCCAGCACACTGCTTTGTATGGCTTTGCCTAGTAGAGCCTTACAAAGCAATGTGCTGACAGTGCAAAACACACACAGCACACAGTTAACCCTTTGATCGCCCCAGATGTTAACTCTTTTCTGCCCTGGGTCATTAGTACAGTGTCAGTGCTTTTTTTTTTAGCACTGATCCCTGTATTAGTGTCACTGGGGATGTCAGTGACAGTCAGTCCACACCCCCCAGTGTCAGAATGCCTGCTGCAGTTCCGCTATAAGTCGCTGATCACTGCCATTACTAGTATACAAGAAAAATTACAGTATATATACCATCATTTGTAGACTATAACTTTCTTGTAAGCCAATTAATTTACATGTATTGGGATTTTTTTTTAGCAAAGACAAAGAATACATTTTGGCCTAAATTTATGACGAAATGTGATTTTTTTAATTTTTTTTTACTGGATATGTTTATAAGTCAAAAATATTGTTTTTTTTCTCAAAATTGTCGTTCTTTTTTGTTATAGCCCAAAAAAATAAAAACTGCAGAGGCGATCAAACAGCACCGAAAGAAAGCTCCATTTGTGGGAAAAAAGACATACATTTCATTTGGCTGCAGTGTTGCATGACCACGCAATTGTCAGTTAAAGTAATGCAGTGCCATATCGCAAAAAATGGCCTGGTCAAGAAGTGGAGTAAATCCTCTGGAGGGCAAGTGGTTAAAATGGTAGCTAACAATGTTTACCTTTTTAAGTTATGCTATGTTAATGGGAACAAGTAACAAATATAAAGTAGGTGTTATCCCAATTTGGCTGCAAAAGTGGAAATACACTTTAAAGGTATAGCAAAGGCACAATATTGAAATACCATTAATTTGAGTAAAGGGGTATTTACAGCAATCAGAAAAAAAAAGTGTTCATGCATGGTATCCTGCATCCAACCTGTATCCAAAGTCAGTTTGTAACTGAGATGTGGTACTAGCACTTCCCTGACCTCTACTGAATAACTTCTATGGCTTGGATTTTTTTTTCTTGCAACCCCTTTTAAGTGCCTTTCTATGTGTAGAATAAGATCTATAAAGTAATATCTGCTTGTCTGAGTATTATTTGATATTTTTTTCAGGAATGCTAAATGAAATGTAGATATATTCTTTTAGCATATGCATTATTCATTGGGAGAATAGGTACTGTACAATGGCATTAGTTGTCATTTACTGCAGAGCATGCAATGATATTTTGTGTGCACAAAATTTACTAAATGTGACTAGTCAGAGAAGGAATAATCACTAGAAGCAAAGCAAGTGCAACAAAAACTAAATTGTTCTATAGATAGTAAAGGAAAAGTACTAAAAACTACAGAATTTCTTGGAGAAATTTGAGCAATGCAATCAATTGGTTTCTTTATCTTTTATTTAACCTCCAAAATGGCTGAAATCTGGATTTTGTTAGGACCAGAACACTTTCCTAATACACACAGTTGACTCATGGACCCTAGGTTTGTGGCAACATTACTGTTAACAGTGAAAAGACAAGTTCAGCAAGACTTAAAGTTGCGATCAAAGTGCTTCTGCACCTAAGACTTTATTTTTAAGTAACATAGTGATCTCCTTTTTAACTCATGGTACAGTTGAGAGGCACCAATGTTGCATGGTAAAATGAGACACTCCTGGTTATTCAGTCCTTATAATAGTGATCGTTTCCCTGGATTTTAATGTAAACAGTGTCTTTCATGTAAGTATATAATAACGATTTGTTTGAAAAAAAAAGTGACATTCAGAGGATTCCTCGATTAATATTAAACACTAAAGCTTGGATGTTGCCAATTTCTCCACTTTGTCTTTTGCATTGCTGGTGCTTTGATTGAAAGGGAGAAGCATGAGCCAAAGACAACTGGAGCCAGCATGGTTTCCCATGCAGTAGGTTTCCACCCAGTGGAGAACAAAGAAACATGAAATACTACACAGAATAACATAAAGTACACACACTACAAAAGAAGCACTAGTGCAACAATGAGATGAATGCACCATCCAATGATCTTTTCCATTTCAGTACATCCATATAAAGCTGTTCCTGTGCATTTTGAATTTGGCAGAAGTGAAAAAAGTCATTGTTGTATCTTAGGTGTTTTGCACACATATATACATGTATTATACACAACACCTGTCATTCAGTCCACACAGGTATCCTAAATGCATACCATGGAGATATAAAAGTTCATATTATTTGGCAGGCATTTGGCCTAAAATTTCTGTGACAAGGAGACAAGGTCCCCATACATGTGAGGATCAAGGGGTGTAAGGTGGAGGCTTTTCATCTGGTGGAAAATAAGGTGGGGAATAGCGTGGTGGAGCACTGGATGGCCACATGAAGCTGGGACCGGATTGCGATGTTGAAGTAGGATCATCTGACAAGCCAGAAGGTGTAGAAGCTGGAAATATGTTGGAATGCTGTAGAACAAACAAGAGTGATCAGATTTGAAGTACTACTTGTGAGTTCAAATATATAAAAACAGACCAAAAAAATCCTAGTTAGAACTACTATAGAAAATCCGGAAATTGATGAGTGTATACTAAAGGCACAATTACATGTGAGATTTTAAGCTACTTGGACCATGGGATTTAACTTTTTCTTTTTTATTAATTTAACAACTCCCAAATTTAGGGCCGATTCACACCAGAATCACACAGGAATGTGGTCCGCATTCCTGTGTGATTTCTGTGAGTTCCCCAACAGTGCAGTTTGGCAACCAGTTCATTTAAAGGGGCTGCAAATTGCACAGGACCACACAAAAAGTAGTGTATGCACGACTTTTGAAAAAATGCACTGCACCAAATCACGTTACTGCAGAACCATGCGATCGATCTGGTGCCTGCAAATGCACTGCATTTCCAATCTGCATTTGCGGTGCTGTTAACAATGTATTTGCACCTGCAGCAAATTGGAAAGGCAGTGCATTTTGAATACAGTGCATACAGGAACATGCCTTTTCCACATTCTGATGTGAACCAGTCCTTAAAACAGACTGATCTAAACTGACTGAATTGTTAATTCTAAAGTGGTATTAAACCCAAAAACAAAAATTTTATAAGGTGCAACTCGCCAATTTTTAGATGTGGTGGAAGCCCTAGTTATCTTTTTTCCCTTCATTTTCACCTGGTGAAACACCAGTTAGTATGTTATTTTTCAACTTACTTTAGCAGACCAAGCTGTTCAGACAAAGTAGCAATAAGAGGGTTGAGACAAACCATTTAACACTGACAGGGGTGCTCACAATGATGAGATTTTATTCATTTATGTAAAACCTTTATCCCAAAAGGAAGGAAACTGCTGCTACTGTCTATAACGTGTTATGTGGAGTTTAACTTCAGTCTGTTAGTGTAGTCCTTCTGAATATGCTAGTCTAAAGCTAGGTGCACACACTGATTTTTTTTTTTTATTTCCTTCAACTGGCAGGTTGAAAACAAAAAGCTCACAGATCCCTGCATCCACACAAGCAATATAGATCCAGGGATCTCCCCCACTGCGTTATTATATTATTAGATTCCCCCATGTCAGAGTACACTGATCAGTGCTGCAGCCATTGGCTGCAGTGGCTGATCGAATGCTGGTTTTCCAGCAGGACCATTCAACAGAAGTTAGTCTAATGACAAACTTCTGTTGCACAGAGACGGCTACACAAGGATCAAATTTTGTCTTGTTCCTGCTGAACCAGCCAAATTTCAGTAAGTGTATACCCAGCTTAACACGACCCTCCTCATAGACTGACAATGCTGTTGTCCAAAGGTGTCTGCTCTGCTACTTCATTCATTCATTCAGAATGCAGACACCGACAACAAGTGTGTTAATGACTGGATCACCTGGTGAAATACAAGAAAAATAAAGTCTAAAAGAAATAATGCAGTCATCACATCTAAAAATTGGTAGGCTGCAATATATAAAATTTTAGTTTTTGGGTTTAATACCAATTTGAATATTGTGCTTAAAAGTGATAGAAAGAGAATACAATGTGGGTATGTACATCTTTAGTTTCTTTATTTTGGTCAAGATGAAAAAACAAAGTTACTTTTTATAGTTAAATATGAAATAATCTCAATATTTTGTCATTTCCTATTTAGCCAGCAAGTGATGCTTTAGGCTTCTTGTAGCATGTTTTCCAGTTTTCCAACCTCTTGCTAAAAAGGCCCCTTGTTTACACAGCTCATACTGAAATTTACACACAAGAGAATGCATTAAAATGAGCTCATTCCCTTTCAGATGGTTTCCTCTGAGGTTTCAGAAGCAACCAGTTTACCTTGCTTTGTATTAAATATTTATTTGCAAAACAAATCGTGCATGCCTATTGTAATTGTTGTGCATTAAGCACATAGAAGCTGTAGGCGACAGCCATCTTGCTAAGGTCCAAGCCATTTTGTTTTTCATGAGCCCAGTGATCTTACCCCCTCCCTCCTCCTGCAAGCTATGGAATTGATAGCTTTAACGTTTAATACACTTCAAAAGAACCTGTTATCTGAAATTAGGGATAACAGACACCAGCACCCAGGCCTTTGTCAGAGCTGTAAACTGCTAATTGAGGCCTGCAGGATGCCTGTTTCTATGGATCATAAAAAAAACTCTACGGATTAACACTTCCCTCTGACCTATTGTAAAACAATGAGAAAAACCTGTCCTTTTGTCACACATGACGTGTAGGGCAAATAAAGCTCTAGGAATGCATAGCGTGCCATAAAACATCTACCAAGAAAGCAGTTAGGCGTAGGGCGGCCTCTCTGAGACCTCTGCCCAAATCACAACTTAACAAAATCCACACACAATTCAAAAAATCCAACAGGAACAAGACACAATATTATTAGGTATATATTTAAATGGGGAATATCATACTGAACAAATCAAGGTCATACCTGACTAAGCTAGCATATAGCAAAGGGGAGAAAGTAGTCTCCTATCTTCTGGGTGACAAACCCATCTGAAATACTCTGTGTTTGGTATCCCTGGAGCTTCTGGTGGTAGCTTAAAGAGTTAATTGCTTAGTTAAATTAACCCAGAAACAATCAATCTCTGTCTGAGGCACCTAGATCCCATGAGCCATAAACCCATGGTCCCATGAGCTGGAAAATCTTTGTGCAGGGTGGCGCTGAGAGTGGTATTGTTACATAAGTGACAGCGCGGTGTGAAATTGACCTGCCCTTTGTTGCAAGTTGGTGAGAAGGGCAGGAGTCAGGCACCACATTCATCACACCTATAATAAAAAATGTCTGGTTTTTGTTTAAAAAAATAGCCCAAATCCCAGTCTTCGCAAATAGATGGTGGGGATTTCTTCATACTATTTTGAACATACACTAGATTGCCAAAAGTATTGGGCCAGCCCTTCAAATCATTGGATTCAAGTGTTCCAATCACCTCCATGGCCACAGGTGTATAAAATCAAGCACCTAGGCATGCAGACTGCTTCTACAAACATTTGTGAAAGATTGGGACACTCACAGTGAATTCAAGCATGGTACCATGATGTGCAATAAGTCTATCTGTTGTAATACCACCAAAAGTTGACCGTGGAATATTTAATAGCAAGGAAATTACACAAAGTGGAAGCAACTGGGAACAACAGCAACTCAACCACAAAGTGGTAGGCCGCGTAAAATTACAGAGTAGGGTCAGCACATGCTGAAGTGCGCAGAAGTCGCCAATTGTCTGCAGATTCAATAGCTAAAGATCTCCAAACTTCATGTTGCCTTCAGATTAGCACAACAACAGTGCATAGAGAGCTTCATGGAATGGGTTTCCATGGCCGAGCAGCTGCATCCAAGCCTTACATCACCAAGTGTAAAGCAAAGCATCAAATGCAGTGGTGTAAAGCACACCGCCACTGTACTCTGAGCAGTGGAGACGTGTTCTCTGAAGTGAAAAATCACGCTTCTCTGTCTGGCAATCCAATGGACGTGTCTGGGTTTGGCAGTTGCCAGGAGAACAGTACTTGCCTGACTGCATTGTACCAAATGTAAAGTTTGGTGGAGGGGGGATTATGGTGTGGGGTTGTTTTTCAGGGGTTGGGCTTATCCCCTTAGTTCCATTGAAGTTCCATTTAAAACCAACAGGAGTTGGTTGTATCATGGAGTATCCTGTTGGTTTAAAATTTCTTACAACTACTACATGTGATGTAGTTTTTTTACATGATAATATGGAATAACGTTTTGTATGATTTTAGCACAATATCAAATGTTTGAAGTCTGTTGAGCACCTTAAAAATCCCTTCCTCTCTGTACAATGTTGGAAACTTTGTGTTGCAGATAGTTGTCTCAACATACCTGTAAGTCATAGGCAGTATAAGGTGGCAGGTGTGGAGTGCTGTGATAATAAGTATTATAAGACGGCACTGGTGGTCTTGTGTTGTATTGCACCGTAGGGCGTGGGGTCTCAACAATACAACTAATGGCAGGAATAGCAGGATTCTATAAGGAGAAAAAAGTTTATGTTAATTCTTCTACCAAGCCCTTAAAAACACAGTATAATATCTTCTTTATTTTCTATTTGTGTTAGAAAACCTTGTAGCAGCAGAATCAGCCATCCAAGTAACTATAACCATATACATTATCTCAATCTGTTCTCTACTTACAACAAAGTTACAATTTATAATGTATAATTTAAACCAATTATCCCAACATATAGTTCCAATTTATTAGTCAGTACTCTTTCAATAAAGGAGAATGCCCATTTATTTTTCTTGAGCAGAGTGCCATGAAACATACTGTACATGTACACAATTATAAATCACCTAAAATAAACATCTGCTCAGCAAGGACAAATTGGACGGCCAACAGAATGCTTAGTACAGGCAGAAGATACATGTTTGGGCATTAGCCTGACCTTCTACCCAAGTGCTTTTAGTGGTTGCCCCATTTAACCACTTTGGCACTAGAGACATTTTTCATTTTTTGCACACATGTAAAAATCTGCATTTTTGGCCATAAAATTAATTAAAAGTCCCAGAACAGTATTTTTTTTAAAGCAGAGAAAAAAAAGATAGTAGTTGTAATTTTTTAATCACTTCCAGTACAGACACTTTTACCCCCTTCCTGTCCAGGCCAATTTTCAGCTTTCAGCGCTATTACACTTTGAATGACAATTGCGCGATCATGCAACACTGTACCCATACAAATTTTTTAGCATTTTTTTTGAGACAGATGAAGCTTTATTTTCGTGGTATTTATTCACCACTGGAATTTTTATTTTTTTTGCTATGTAAATGAAAAAGCCCAAAAATTTTGAAAAAAAATGTTTTTCTTATAAAATTTTGCAAAAAAATAGTATTTCATCATAAATCTTGGCCAAAATTTATTCCGTTATCTTTTTAGTAAAAAAAAAGATATCCCAAATTAGTTTATAACCAAAAACAATAATTTTTAAACATTTTTTTTTCACATTTTTTATATTATTATTTATGTTTGTTTTTTTTTACATACTGTCACCCTAGCAGTACAGTGGCACCATGGTGACACTGTACTACTTGTGGGGGGTGATGGGTGATGAAGATTTTTTTTTTTTTTACACTGATTGCTTTTACACCTATAAACGCTGTAAAAGCAATAATTTCTCTTTCACTCTAGCTGCATTCTTGCAGCCATTGAGAACTACTGTGTGAGCTGTGATTGGTCACACGGTACAAGGCTGTTGTGAATAGCCTTGTACCATGTGACCTCTGTGATCATTCACAGATTTCACACGTAGTAAGCAATGATGTCAGAAGTGACATCTTGCTTACTACTCTGCATGTGATCACTGATTGGCCAATCAGTGATCACATGATCGGGACCTTGCACAGAGGTCCCGTCTGACGATCAGTGTTCCACTGTGTCCGGAGGACACAGCGGGCACCAGATCGCGGTGCTGCGCACTCCCAGGGAGCGCGCACAAGCAGGGTATGGGGAGGCCGTTTATAAACGGCCACCCGACCCTGCACTGCCACCATCCGGCCGTTTCTATACACGGGAAGTGGTTAAGGTGCAGCAAATTTGTGCAACTGTTTATAAAACGCATATTTTCAGGAAAAAATATTAAAACGTTATTTTGGTACACATAAACATAATACCCAAAACATAAAAGATGGGGTTGCATTGAGTAAATAGATATCAAACATGTCAAGTCTTAAAATTTTGCACGTTCATAATAACGTGACAAGCAACGATACCCAAAAGCCTTTAAAGTTTAGAGTTAATTGCGAGCTCTGGTGTTAGAATTATTGCTCTCACTCCAATGTTCACAGCAATACCTCACATGTGAAGTGTTATTTTTGGTTCACATACACATGCACACCCTGCGTTCATGTTTGTGTTTGCCGGTGCGTGCTGGACAGCAGGAATACATTTAAATTCTTTATGTTTTTTAATACTTTTTTTTAGAATTGTGTTTTTTTTTCTTTTTGTATTTATTTTATTTAACTTTATTGCTATCACAAGAGGTTAACAAACCCCATGTGATAGCATTGGGCAGGTGACAAGTGCTTTTTATGGAGACACTGGGAGTCTGATAGACCCTGATGTTTCCCCTGCCATCCAAAGATTCTAACCAAGCAGAAGTCTGCTCTGTTAGATGCTTCTGTAGCTGAATCAGCCAGAAGATTATAGCTCTGAAACTGTAAGTGACAAAATTATTGTCACTTCCGGTTTCACTATGGGCAGAGGACATTGAAGAACATATTTTCTTCGGTCTCCTCTCACCCACCATGTTGAAACCCCCAGATGTGATCCCAAGCACCCGATAGGTGCACTAACCACACTGTGAAAGTGATTGCTGGCTATATAGCCTATACACTTTCACTTTTCAACTGCTATTGCAGCCATCACCATGTGCTTAACCCTTTACTCTTTGGATGTACATAACCATTTGGACACTCAACAAGTCACCCTGCTGGTACAATAACTATTTAAAACTAAAAGAATTCATACTTCCTATATCTCTCCCGTGCCTCCAATCTGTATCGCAGAATACAGCAATATTGTATTCATGACCCCTTACTGTTATCTGAGGTTCCTCCAACAGTTCATACATCATTACAGACCATAGTAGTGATGAAGGGGCTCGCAGATCAAATCACTGGGTGCAGTGGAGGAGCCAGGCATCTGATATGCCAGTAAGTTTCTGAATGCTAAAGACTCTTCAGTATGGTTTATTTTCAATACAGCACAGTTTGGCAGCAGTGGGCACTTTGTTGCTCAGTATTATTTTAGAAAACAAGTCACTTTAACATTTTGCCATCCATGTAATACATATGTGCAGAGGCAAGCAGGTTGGGCTTTAATGTCTTAAATACACATATGCAGGGGCGGACTGACCATTCGAGCACTCGGGCACTGCCCGAGGGCCCAGGGTCAGTAGGGGGCCCCATGAAATGCTTGTTACCTTTTTATAGGCTTTTTTGGGTGTGCTTTGAGTGTGGGCAAGGACACAGGGACCCCATGGTCCCCTATTGCCCGGGGGCCCCATGAGTTGTCAATCCGCCCCTGCACATATGCTTCCATGGTGGCCAATGTTTCTGTGCTGAGAGCATGCTCTTGGTCTCTCTTTGCGATAAGAAGCCAGCAGGACAAGCTTCAGGTCATGTGATCACTGACACCCAACCAATCATCAGGAAGTCCGCCCCACCTCCTGGTGTTAAAACATGGTTAAAGGGCTGCCAAGAAGGGGCAGGATTTGGATAAAGGTATGTAAAAACATCAGTTTCATCAAACAGTACTTTAGTAACAGACTGAATTAATTTGCAGACAGATGGTAATTTTGAAATTAGTAGTGCAAAGAAAAAAAGGTATCTACATACCATGTCTTTAAATCCTCCAAGTACTGCAGCTGTTATAATACCCAGGAATAAACCCACTATGTTCAGTATAGTAACAGACCACAGTAAGTGGTAAAGATGTATAACATCTTGGCAGCTTTTTACATCCACGTACTCGTAATACATTCCTGTTACTCCAGCCCTGAAGAGAATAAAAAAGAGAAAATAACATAAATATATCTACTAATAACAGTTATATCTACAGATTATCTTTTTTACAATTCTGCAAAACATTTTGATTTAACACAATGGATACTGGTAAGCATGCTCTATATATAGGTGCAACACATATTGTATATGTGAAATCATTTACCCATCAAAAGATTTTAGCTCTATTCAACAAGATTTGTGATCTAGTCATTCCTGGCAGACAACATAGTCATGTCCTTGACATGCACTGCAGTGGCAGCATGCCTGGTCAATACAAGTGATGGGCAAACCAAGCAATGTTTGATATGCTGGATGATGATGGAACCCAGCGGCAAATCCACAAACCCCAAACATAGCGCTCAAACCCCAGTGAGGTCAATGGGAGCTGAACCCTGTCATTTTTTTTGCCCTTTTTGATAAAACAAAATTACACAGGTAGCTGTTGGACACTGCCATGGGGGACATGTGCAAATGCAAAAAAAAAAAAAAAAATTGCATTCAGCAGGGAGTAGGTGCTGCTTAAAAGGCAACATTAAAAATATACAAATAGTTTGAATAACATGTTTTTGGGGATGCCTTAAAGCTGCACAAAAGGTGGCGCACCTGTAGAATGTACAAGCAGTCCTCCCTTCCTCTCAGTATGTGGATCCATCCCCACAGGGGGAAAAAGTCCATCCACCAGATTATTTACCAGTAACCCAGCTTCTGGGCACACCTCCCCAGGGATTGGCCAGACCGTACTCAATATTCAGGCTAGGCATTTGAATTCTCCCTCCCTAAACTCTAGAAGCTTCTTCTAAAGGCAGGGGGAAGCAAACAAATGCCCAGTCTGTGAGAAGCCTTGAACAGACCATACTAAACAATCCCAGCTCCTTTGATTACAGCAGGACCCAAAAAACTAAATGTATCTAACATCCAATAAATGGGAGGGTGTTACATCCCTGTTAACATTGTGCTTTGAGGATTTCCAGAGGAACATCACACACTTTTTTTTCTTTTTTGCATGGAGTCTTTCTTAAAATCCATACCATAAATTTTGAGGCGGGGCTAAACCGTCTTTTTGCTTGTTTTGTTTTTCCTTCAGGGCGTGTGGCTTGTATGGTTCAGGAGTGAAGGAAGGAGTAGTGTATGCTCACTTCTCCCTTAATTTCAGGCCATCTAGGCTGCATGCCTGGGTAGGAGTCTGATATACACTATATTGCCAAAAGTATTGGGATACCCCTCCAAATAATTGGATTCAGGTGTTCCAATCATCTCCATGGCCACAGGTCTATAAAATCAAGCACCTAGGAATGCAGACTGCTTCTACAAACATTTGTGAAAGAATGGGTCGCTCTCAGGAGCTCAGTGAATTCAAGTGTGGTACCATGATAGGTTGCCACTTGTGCAATAAGTCCATCTGTGAAATTTCCTTGCTACTAAATATTCCACCATTAACTGTTAGAACAAAGTGGAAGCACTGGGAACAACAGCAACTTAGCCACAAAGTGGTAGGCCACATAGAGTGACAAAGCAGGGTCTTCACATGCTGAAGCGCACAGTGCGCAGAAGTCGCCAACTGTCTACAGAGTCAATAGCTAAAGACCTCCAAACTTCATGTGGCCTTCAGACTACAACAACAACAGTGCATAGAGAGCAATTGAACTAGCTTGTCGGCCCGTGGGGTAAAGGGTAGCTGATAACGGACCATCCTCCAAGTCCCTCAATTAACTCGTTGGGCACCAAAGCTGGGTCACAGAGGACTTCACATATATGGGGGGGGGTACCTTTACTCTAGTGCGATTTTCACCAATGCCCAGGGACAAGGCTGAGCTTGCCATCAAGAAATACTCAACCTTAAGGCAGCCCTCTACTCTTAGAGATGAACACACACATGTACACTTGAATGACAACTGTTCTCCAGTTAATTCTTGGGTCACCATGTAAATCTTCCCATTGTAACTTGCAATTAGGTGGGCCGTGCCGAACACTGACCACAGCCAACTGTTCAGCGTTGACTTGACTTTAACTGTGCCACTGGCTCCATTGTGCACTTGACTTTGACTCTTCAACTGCCTTACTTCTGTACATCATGGGGACCTCTGCAATGCAGTTCTGCTCTGGTTGCTAGGGGAATTGGAATGTGGTGCATTATCCCTCACAACTAGAAGCAATTTCAACTAACAGGTACATGTTATCTGCTTGCTGACTGTATCTTCATAGCTTATGGCAACCACATGTAGTAATGTATCCCGATGACTCTTCATACACACCATGTGCTAGTGACCCAAACCTTAGGCCATACAGGGGTTGGACAAAAATATGGAAACACTACATGATTTGCAGGTGTGAAAGTAACGACAAGTTTTGCGCTGAAAGCGTAAGTGATGTAACCTTCTTTTGCTTCTGTGTGATGAGACACATAGCTAACAGGTGGAAAGCCTCACTTTTGTCATTTACTGAATGCGCTGCTAATAATACGGAGTCAGAACTGACTGAGTTTCAAAGAGGGCAAATTGTTGGTGCACACTTAGCTGGTGCCTCTATGACTGAAGTTGCCGTGTTGCGAGGTACAGTATCAAAGGTTATGATGGCATGTACAGTTTCTGAGAAAGCGTCATCTGATAAGCGGTCAACTGGCTGAAAGCAAAAAAAAAAAAAGGACATTGTGCAGAATTGTGACCCAAAATAAGAAAACAACTGCTGTAAAAGTGACTAGAGAGCTCAATCTCAGACCCCCATTGAAACTCATGTAGTGTCTCCATATTTTTGTCTGACCTCTGTAGTTGCCAGTTACTTGCACTGCACTCCTTTCAAGGACTTCAGACCAGGCAAAAGGTTTCAACATTTTACTATAGAAAATCATGCACAGCTCAAAAGAGTACAAAGCAGACAGGACAATCCAACCGAACTTCAATAAAAGTCATTATCCCTAAGTCCCTGATCCCTACTCCTAATCAGGCTATGTGCTGTCCCCATGTACATGCGAATAAAGGTCCATTAGTGGCAATCCCCAGTAGCTGGTATCTTTGGGGCGGAAAAAACCCCAGGTTGGGTGGCTTTCACACCTTTCAGGTGCTTAGGCGGCCATGCTCTCGAACTCCTTCAGGGGAGCTTCTTTCTTTCTCTAGGGTCTCCTGGCTGTGGACCACTGTCCCTGTTTATATCCATAGGAGCAGTGGGTCAGACTGAAAGATCCTGCCACATGAAAAACCTGGGAAGTAACTCCAGCCCTCCCCTCCGGAGCAGCACCTAACTAGTTCTAAAATGCTTACATGCTGAAGTTAGAAGCTGATTGGCTACCATACACAGCTGCACCAGATTTTGCACTCTCCAGTTTTAGTAAATCAACCCCTATATGTTTAATACTCAAACCATAACTAAAAATAAAACATTTTCTTAAGTTTTTGACAGAGTGGAGAAGAATTTTATCACCTGTCAGATTTTTGTTGCCGGTATCACCTTTTTCCTGTTTACCATTATCATTGAAAGTAAGAAAAAATCCCAAGTTTTGGATGATTCCCAGAACAGTAATAAGGAGGAAATCTTCCAATAGGGACACTAGTTCTGGTGACCCTGGTGACAGCCAGGGACACTTCACTTTAGAGGGCATTCCCCTTACTTCCTGTTGTGGCTATGGGACAGGAAGTGAATAGAAATCTCCCCAATGAGACACAGATGGAAAAGACTCGATAGGAGTTATAACCCTCCTTTACTCTATCCAAGATGAAAAAAGAATCTAATCCTTATACATAAGCATTAAATTAAACATGTAAACATGCTATGCATTTACATTTCTACAGAATCCTATCTTATGCCCTGTGCACTTAATATTAATATATTTGCTATATGCTAGGTAAAGGTACTGTGTCTGCAATATAAATTCCATTGTGTATACATACATATAAAACTGTATTAAAATATTTTTTGATTCAACAACTTTTCATGAGGATATATCACATAGCAAAACACTGGTCTCTCTGGTGAAAGCAACGATTTCCAGCTTATGGGCAGTATATTTAATTTTTAGAGATCCTGAACAGGGTCGACTTCACTCCCAAGGGCCCTTTCACATGGGTTTTCTGATCAGGTCTCTCAGGTGGACCTGATCAGTAGCTTCATGAAGCCCTATGAACAGACAGGTGTAAACAGAATGATGTCCAATTACACCCTCCTACCTTCGAGTCCATCTAGGTCTGGAAAAGAAAAATGGATAAGGACTGTGTCCTAAATGTGATGGATCGGAGGTAGCCTGATGTAAACAGACAGCGGAGACTGTTTACATCCAGCCACCCATACAGCTGTCTTGGGTCCACCCTTGTCTGCGGGGCACAAACTGAACGTGCACGGATGTAAAAAAACTGACATCTGTTGTGTTTCACTCTGATTCAGCAGGGTATCTGCTCATGGATCCCCTGCACACAGAGCAAATACCACTCCGTGTGAAAGAAACCAAAGGCAGCCATAACCGAGACTAATTATTAATTGTCCTGGCGAACATAAAAACTGCATGTGAGTTTTTTATGATTGAAACTCATCATATTGATAACATCTCTCATAAACGATTGAATACCAAGAATGATTTTTATTGCGATTTTCCTGAGTTCCCTAGGGTTTACGTCTTACATGACTGGGTTGTATACCATGTAGTTGTATGCCATGTAGCATGGCAAGTTCTTTTCTCTACTGCCACTTCCCCACTGCATTTGCCAGCAAGTCTAGGAATTGCCATGTTATACAGCAGTTATTACAGCAGCTGCTGTAAAAAAAAAAAAGATGCAAAATTCTGGATTATTGTTGTTTTGTATTTACGCTCTTCCATCCATTTGCAGATCAGAATGATTATCTTTGATATGCATATGATATCAGTTAAGCCAGCCTTTTTTGTAAATACAATTAGTTTCTTTTCAACCTCTATTTAACTGTTAGCTTACCCTAATCAGCCCTAATAAACTCATTCTTCCCCCTTAAAGTGTTACTAAACCCACAACAGTAAAATCAGTCTGTATATGC